CCTTAACAATTTTTACATCAAACTTATCAATGGTTTTTTTTTTTTTTTTGGTCACATTTTTCCTTTGCTTTTATGCTTTGAGAAGTCCTTTCCACCTAGAGATCAGAAAAAATATCATGTGTTTTTTCTTTCTGCACTATTGTTGCCTCCGTTTTTGAGTTTTAAAAAGTTGAGAACCACTATACGAATGTATTTTATTTTGTCAATGAATATATATAAACAGGTTTATATAAAATTGAAATAAAAATTATATCACAAAACCATGTGTGAGGTGGAGGATTTTACTACTCACAGAATATCCTTCACATTTCTCAGCTCCTATACAGCTAATAGCAATCTGAATTCTAGCCAAAGAGATGTCATCAGAAATACTATGTGCAACTTCCAAGAAGTGTCCTTTGGGACCATGTCCTCCTTGTTCCTTTACCTTAACTTGCTGACTGAAATGTGAGTGTGATGGCTGGAGCTAAAACAGCCATCCTGAACCATGAGGTAACCTTGAGTCTGATGAAACAAGACAAGTGGCCTGAGTGTTTGAGGGATTGCTGGTAAAGAGCCACCTGAAGACTGGACTGCCTACATCTTGACTTTAATGCCAGGAATTAGCAATTATACTTTAATGTGAAAAAATAAACTGTCATCTTATGTTATACTGTTACTTCTATGAAACTTAATTCTCACCAATACATCTTCTGTAGAGTTTATGCCAATTTATGTTTCCACCAACAACATATGAGAGTGCTGCTTCTCTACAGGGTCAACAACAGATGTGGTGTCAAAATTTGGATTTGGGGACTTCCCCAGTGGCTCAGTGGTAAAGAATCCAGCTGCCAGTGCGGGAGACACATGTTCAGTCCCAGATCTGGGAAGATCCCACATGCCACAAAGCAATTAAGTCTGTGCACCACAACCATTGAGCCTGGGCTCAGAGCCGGGGAGCCGCAACTGCTGAGCCCGTGTGCTATAGCTACTGAAGCCCACGTGACCTAGAGCCTGTGTGCTGCGACCAGAGACTAAGTTCTAAGTAAGCTCAGTTGCTTAGTCACGTGCCGACTCTGTGACCCCATGGACTGCAGCACGCCAGACTTCCCTCTCCATCACCAACTCCTGGAGTTTGCCCAAACTCATGTCCATCGAGTCGGTGATGCCATCCAACTATCTCATCCTCTGTCATCCCCTTCTCCTCCTGCCTTCAATCTTTTCCAGCATTAGGGTCTTTTCAAATGAATCAGTTCTTCGAATTAGGCGGAGCTTCAGCTTTAGCATCAGTCCTTCCAATGAATATTCAGGACTGATTTCCTTTAGCATTGACTGGTTTGATCTCCTTGCGGTCCAAGGGACTCTCAAGAGTCTTCTCCAACACCATAGCTCAAAAGCGTCAATTCTTCAACGCTCAGCTTTCTTTATGGTCCAACTCACACATCCATACATGACCACTGGAAAAACCATAGCTTTGACTAGACAGACCTTTGTTGACAAAGTAATGTCTCTGCTTTTTAATATGCTGTCTAGGTTGGTCATAGCTTTTCTTCCATGGAGTAAGAATCGTTTAATTTCATGGCTGCAGTCACCATCTGCAGTGATTTTGGAGCCAAAGAAAAGAAAGTCTGTCACTGTTTCCATTGTTTTCCCATCTATTTGCCAGGAAGTGATGGGGCCGGATACCATGATCTTAGTTTTTTGAATGTTGAGTTTTAAGCCAGCAAGAGAAGCCACGGCAATGAGAAGCCCACACACTGCGACTAGAGAGTAACCTCTACTTACCACAACTAAAGAAAAGCCCACCCAGCAGTGAAGACCCAGCACAGACAAAAATTTTTTTTAATTAATTTTAAAAGAAGTTTGGATTTTGATAAGTTTAAAAGTGAGGGGGAGAAAAATCTTACTTTTAACTTATATTTCTCTTTTTGTGAATTAGGCTGAGTATCTTTTATGTAAGGATGATATTTATTTCTTTTTCTGTAAACTGGCTGAAAATAAATATTTTTATATCAAGTACTTGATTTTTCCCCCCTTTTCAGGAATTCTTTGTATATTAGGAAAATTAATCATTTACCTGTGATATGAGTTGCAATTTTTTTTTTCAGAATTTGTCTTCTCTTTTAATTTCTTTCTCTCTTTTTCTTTTCTTTTTTTTTGGTCATAAAGAAGGTTTCTAAAGGTTTTGGAAAAGCCTGTAATTAAATTTTAAAAGCTTTCCCCTGGTATTAAAGTTTTAAGTTCTAGAAGAAATCCAAAGTTGTAAAATGATGCACTCGTTTTGTTTGCTGGGACTTTCATGGATTTGTTTTTTAAATTTACATCTTTGAATGTAATACATGAAATATGAGCCCAACTTTATGTTTTATTAAGTGGCTGGCTCCCTATTGTGCAAACCGATTATCTTTATACCATTGATATGAGGTGTTATCTTTATAATGTACATACAGATTTTTTTAATTTATAAATTCTCATGTTTATTTGGTTCTATTTCTAGATTTTGTATTTTGCCCCACTGGTTTGTCTATTCATATGCCAAAACTATGTTTGAATCACTGAGGTTTTATATTTCCATATCCAATAAAGTTGGTCCTCCTCATTGCTTTCCTTTTAAAAAAAATTTGTTGGCTATCCTCGTTTAATTTTTTGTATACAAATTTTAATCAGTTTGTGTAGGTCTAGAAAAAAACCCTGATGACATATTTATTGAGATCTCATTCAATTTACCAATTAATTTAAGGACAACCAGTATATTAATCATAGATTTTATTCAGTTCTAGGAATTTTATAGGTTTTGATTGCTATTGCAAAAGATGCCTCCTTTTCTATCCTGTTATCTAATTGGTTATTATTAATGTATGTGAAGTCTATTGATTTCTGTGTTAATTTTATATGCCTCACCCTTTTTTAATTCTTGTATTGTTTTTAGCAGCCTTTCAGTTGATATTTTTTAGGCATACAATTATATCTAGAAATGTAGATAATTTTATTTCTTCATCTTCAATTCTTGTGTCTCGGGCAGATTTTGAAGCTTAATGGTGGCTGTATTCCTGGCTCCTGAGTATTCTCCCTCCTTCCTTTTATCCAAGCCTGGATCGGCAGCCTGTCTCATCTTTCTGTGCTAGTCAATATTCTCTGAATAAATTCCTTTTAATTTAAAGTCAGAACTGGTTCCTTTATCTAAGAAACTTGACTTAAAGTTTTCATTTTGCACAAACACTGTCCAATGACACATCATCAACAGGAATGTCTGTTGTCAGGTATTGAAGGCTTGCTGTATGCCAGGCAGTGTACCAAGTCATTTGCATATGATGTATTGATTAATTCCTAGAGAATGCACCTTTCTAGTCCCTGGTCATTGTAGCAAATTTGAACTCGTCCTTTTCACATTTCTTCAGAGAATCTCTGGTTTTGTGTTAGTAGTAGACCTGAAATGTAAGAGCCAGGTTAATATGTTTATGCTTTTATTATTTGTCTTAACATTATAAAATCTTCCCTAAGAATCTGCCTGCAATGCAAGAGACCGGGTACAATCCCTGGGTTGGGAAGATCCCCTGGAGAAGGGAATCACTTACCCATTCCAGTATTCGTGCCTGGAGAATTCTGTGGACAGAGTAGCCTGGCAGGCTACAGTCCATGGGGTCGCAATTAGCTGGACACAACTGAGCAATTAACACATTATAAAATCAAGTTTATTAGATTAATAGAACTTCCTTTTTTTTTTTTTTTTTAAGCAGTGGTACACTATTTCCAAAGCAAATATTAACTGGATGCCCAGTATACAGAACAGAGAAGATGCAAAGTTTAGGTAGATGTTGTGGCAATAGGTTAGAATTTTGTGATGCTTCCGAGCATAGACAAAGAAAGCAAAGATGTTCAGAAATATAAGCCATTTCTGGAAACAGATTTTGCTGACTGTTAAAGGTTGAATCGTATCCCTCTGAAAAGACATGTAAAAGTGCTAACCTCTACTACCTCAGGTGACTTCGTTTGGAAATGAGTCTTCACAGAGGTAATCAAGTTAAAATAAGGTCATTAGAGTACGCCGTAAATGACATGTGTCCTTATAAACAGGGTGTCTGGACACAGACACACAGGAAAGGAAGACAACGTGAGGACAGAGAGAACGCCATCGACAAGCGAAGGAACACGTAAAGCTTAAGCTGGGAGACAGGCATGGATCGGATTCTTCCACTGAGCTCCCAGACATCGCTGCTCTCAGCCCCTACCCCGCAAACTGAGGCTCACTCCTCGCCCGCTTTACTAAGTCTTACAACCTGGTAAAATGTAGACACAAATGTAAACCAAGTCCTAAAATCCGTATCTGGGGCTCCATGCCTCCTGCAAATCTTTGGCAAGCCTATCTTTCAAAGACGCCTTGTCTTTGCTTTCCCACTTCCTTTCTAGTCATTCAAATTTCTCTCAAATTCTCTGGGCCCAGTTGATTTCAGTCGCAGGAACCCTATCTTGTGCTGAGAAACTAAATATTAGAGAAAATCCTCAACTAAGACTCTCGGACTCCAGTTGCTGGGTGTGTTTTGCCCTGTTGCCAACTAATCCTTAATTGCTCCATCCAGGTTAAAGTTTCCAGGAATTCTAGGGTTCTTGCAGTTCCAAACTTTTCCTCTGTCTCAATTCAGTTCAACTTATACTCTTATTTGAATGTGGCTCCAGGTCTGAAGAACAGTGCTCTACCAGGGAGAGGAGACGCCAGCCCTCAACTAGCTGTGACCAGGGCGACACCCCCTAAATGGGACGCACGCAGGGCCAAGCTTTGTCCTTGGATCCCGCGCTCCACGATCTCGGATTCCCGGAGCGCGGGAAGCTTCCGGCTGGCGCCCCCGCCTCCTGGGGGCGGGGCCTGCCGCTCCCGCTCCCGCGCCCGCCTCCCCGGCTGCGCGCGGCGGCGGGCCGTGGTCACGTGAGCGCGGCGCGGCGGAGGAGGGGCCCTGATTTCCGGGCGGCGGAAGGAGACGCGGCCGCGTGAGGTTGAGGCGATTTGAAAACACGCTCCGGGAGCGAGAGGCTGAGGCCGGTGGCGCACGCCGTTGCCCACTGGGCTCTTCCGCGCACGATCTTCCCCTCTGCCTCCGCGCCCGGGTCCCGGCCGGGCCCGCAGGTAAGCGGCCGCCGCCGGTCGGCCGGGCCCTCCCGGGGCGCGGGACGGCGCGCGGAGCCGTTGCCCCTCGGTCCGCGGCCCAGGCGGTCGGAGCGGGCCGGGGCCAGTCTGCGCCCCCCGGGGCCCGGGTCGTGGCGCTCTGGCTGAGCGGGGCCTGCGTGCGGAGAGGGGCCGCGCGGGGGCGGGGCGCCCGCGGGCATTTGAAGCGTTTCAAGTGACTGGGCGGGTTCGCGCGGTTTCGCCTCTGGGAGACTTTTAGGCCGGTGTGCGTTGATTGGGCCCGGCTTCCTGAACTGTGGTCCGGACCGCCGTCCCGGGTGGGAGACGGAACGATAGTTTTTTGAAAACCACGGGGTCTTCACTTCTGGGATGCGGGACCAAAGTCTGGGGTTGAGGATGCCCAGTCGTCTCGTAATCTCCCCTCGCAGTCCAGGTGTGGAGTGACCAGCCGAGCAGGTTCGGACCGTCGGCCGTCTCGAGTGGTCCTGGGCTGGGGTGTCTGTTCTTTGGAAAGTCAGGTGTCTCCGATTGGCCCCTAGGTAGAGTTTGGAGGAACTCGTGAGCAGAAAGGGTTGGAGAGGATATTACCAAAGGCCGAGTACAATGTGACTTCTTGACTTTTTTTTTTTTTCTTGGCGGGTGGAAAGAAGTTGAAAATTAAGGGAGGGTAATGAGGTGGCAGACAAACTGGTTGAAATTCGGTTCGGTCGAAATCCTGATAGACTAGACTCTCCCTTTTGTTGAAATTAGAAAGCCTGTAGTTGGGATCCCGCCTATGAAATTCAGCTTGAAAACTTTTGAGGCTCATCTGTTTGAAGTGATGTGAGAGCTCTGTCCCTGAAGCTGGTGTTCCTACCATCCATTCCATATCAGCTACTGTAAAAGTGGCTTGTCTTAGTTTCTGAGTCCTATCCGACTCTGTGACCCCATGGACTCTAGCGTACGCTGTCCAAGGGATTTTCCAAACAAGAATACTGGAGTGGGTGGCCATTTCCTTCTCCAGGGATCTTCCTGACCCAGGGGTCGAACCTGGTCTCCTGCATTGCAGGCAGATTTACTCTGTGAGCTACCAGGGAAGCCGTTTGGTTTGCTGTATTATGAAAATCTTGATTTTAAGCGAAAATAACAGTTGCTGTAGAACTTTGAATTCCTAACATAAAAATGTTCCCTGTGTACCACAATAATAATCTTAATAGCTTGAAAAGTCAAGGAGGGGCGGTCAGTCCTGTTAGCTTTCCTAACTGAGGGAGAACAGTGATTAATACTAAGTGGTGGGTAATGCTTGTACAAGCTTGACTGTGTGTTGGACCCTGATCAGCTAGTTAGTGGCTAAAGATAGCACAGAGAATTAGGAAGTGGAGGGTTAATTGATTCGATTTTTCTGAATATCTTGTTCTACTTGTTTTCATCTCTGGTACTAGATAGTAATTGTAGCAAAAGCTCACAAACTGTGCTTGCTTAATTCAGAGAGGCCAGTTGATTATTAGGGCCTTTGTAGTTTTACTTATTTTAGACCAGAATAGCTAGAGGTGTGGGTGGGCTGAAAATTTGGTATTGGGATAAATCAAATAAGGCAAGCAGTTTTGCCACTTTTCCCCCAATTCTCACCAGGATTGCAGTATATATAACATAAAGCTGGTTTTGAGGAGTTCAGTCTTATTTAAGAATCCCTCTTCATGTCCTTAGTAAAGGACTGACACATCTTTAAAATGGTGTTAGCATCACCTTCCTTGCATGGTCTTGTGAGAACTGAATGCTTTTGTACATCTACTATTATGTTTGGTATGTACTGGTCATGAGACTAAGAAAATATACATGTTTGTGCTTATAGCATACTTGTTTACCGTGCCAGGCACAGTTCTGAGTATTTTACACATGAGCTCATTTACTCCTCATTCATCTTACCTAGTAACAACTGTATGAGGTAAGCATTATTATTAGCCCTGTTTTGTAGATAAAAACTGAGACACGGTGATTTAACTTCAGCTATAAAGTGCAGGAGTCTGGATGAGAACTAGTTGCTCTCTTGTATCTGCTGTTAACCTGTGTAGCCAAACCCTAGGTGACAGGGCTCTAAGTGTTAAAACCTTGTAACCGTGTGAATTTGAATGCAATGTCATAGGTGATTGACTTCTGGATTCCTGAAACTTCCAAGTTTCTGGTCTTGCACCAGCCATTTTATTAATCTTAAAATAATGCAAATCTTCATTTTGCTCAAATTTCTTGAACTCCTGCGTGTAGCATTGTGACTTAAAAAAAGTAACTAGGCATAGGATAGTTATGATGGATCAGGGGAAGTTTTATTTATTCCAGAGACGCCTACTCTGATGGGTATACAGTGCAAGGTAGGGTTCATTTTCTGTGTGGAAAAGGCTTCATGAAGGGCTGAGCTAGTTCCAGGTATAGAAGGCTATTTTTTTAGATAGAGGTTAGTTGATGGGAAGATAAAGCTGTCGAGGAAGTTAGGGAGGATCGCTGATCTGTCAGACCAGGTGTTTTTACTGTAAGCAAGTGAGAGGAGCAGCTGAAAGCTTGTGAGCCTTGATCAGACCTGTGTTTCGAAAGAGCCCTCTGGTGATCAGCAAAGGGACCATAAGGTGGACCCTGGTCACAGGGCGGGGGTCCTGGTGGGGAAAGCTGAACAGTCTTGGGTTGGAACCAAGGATTTAAGCAGGGGCCTGGGAGTGGGTAGAAGGCGCAGATCAGAGGCTTTGTGTGTAAAGGGGATAATCTGTGTGTGAATTGAGAGAATGGGATGTAGAAAGAGAAGTGCAGGACCACGGGGTTCTCCCTGAGCGGTTTATTATCATGGCGGCCTAGCCAGTCATTGTTCCTTAGCCCTCTGTTCCACTGTATTTCCTTTTCTGTGGCTTTTTTCCCTCCTTTTTTTTGTTTCCGGTTTATATGTAGTCTGAACTTTTCCTGGTGTTCAGAATGCTAGTACTTTCATTTTTGCCTATACCAACCTTATCCCCATTCTTCATCTTTTCTGTTTTCCTTGCTTAGGAAATGCCCAGTGACTGTCCTTGCTGCATATCTGAATCGTCCCCATTTTCAAGGCACCCAGTTTAGGTTCATGAAATTTTTCCTAGCTATTACAGGCTGCATTCAATAATATTGTTGGTCTAGTGTTTGTTTTGCTAGCGTTTCTTGGGGGTTTCTGGGGGCCAGGAGCTTCCTAGTAGGTGCAAGGTATACCTGTAGCAACTCTGTGCTACCTCACTCTTGTCCTATGAAAACAAGAAATTTTCAGAAGTTTTTTTCCCTTTTTTATTGAACTATAAATAATTGACCGTATACACAAGTTTTCTACTTAGCACATTGCTCTACCCAAGATTCCTGTTTAGAACATTGCTTGACAAAAGATTCCATAGCCAAAAATATCTTGAGTAAACTGAGTTTTTTGTTTTTTACTTCATAAAGGTATTTTCCATTTCATATCTTGATGCATTGGCATGGTTATTGTTGATCTTGACACTGTTACAGTAAAGGTTAGAAAATACCTTCTTTATTCTTTTATAATTTATCTTTGGTCTGTATTCATTGTTTTTAAATTAATTCTTTCATCATAGTACTCAAGAATGACCAAAAAAAGAAAGCGCCAAGATGATTTTCAGAAAGTAAAACTAAAAGTTGGTAAGAAGAAGCCCAGGTCAGAAAATGCTACCCTTACAAACTTTAAAACGAAGACTATACATCTTCCTGAGCAGCTCAAAGAGGATGTAACACTTCCGACAAACAATAGGAAACTTAACATAAAGGTAAATCCTGAACATTTTTCCGATGGTAGGGTCTTCCTTGAAGTCACCTGGAGTGTGCACTTCTGTGGAAAGTTGTTTTAGCTCCTAGGGTCTATTTGGCAGGAGATCGGAGTTCACTGTTTCTCAGAGCTGATGCTGCTGCTCCAGCTCCCCTCCAGAGAGACTCGCTCAGCTGAAGTCAAGGTGGTTTCTCCCTTGCATATTCACTTGGTAATTCAATATGTCATCGGGAAGTAATTTTTATGTGTTTTGATGTGTCAAGTTTTTGATGTGACAGATCTTCAGCTGTTTTTGTAGCTCATTAAGATAGGACCCTGTCTTACCCATTTTTGAACCTTTACAATGCATAGCTATTCCAGATTCATAGTAAATGTGTGAAATTTATTGAAATTTGAGCAGTAGTTTTGCTTAAAAATGTAACAGCTTTATTGAAATGTAATTTGCACATAATAAAATTTATTATTTAAAGTGGACAATTCAGTGGTTTTGAATATATTTACATTCTTAGGCTGCTATCACAGTAATCTAGTTTTAAAACATTTTTGTCACTTTAGAAAGAAACCTTATACCTGTTAGAAGTTGCTCCCCGTTTCGTCCCCCACTAGACAGCCACTAAGCTATCAGTAAAGATTTGCATGTTCTAGACTCTTCATATAAATGGAGTCAAATGAAATGTGGTCCGTTGTTACTGGTCTTTCACTTAGCATGTTTTTGAGCTTCATCCGTGTTACAGCACATATCAGAGCAATACTTCATACCTCTGTACTGTCAGATTGTATTCCAGTGCAGGGCTGTGTCATATTTTTTACTCAACAGTTGGTGGCCATTTGCTTACTCCCACTTTGTGACTCTTGTGAATAGTGCTGTTAGAAACATTTGTGAACAAATCTTTGTGAAGATACACGTTTTCTAGTTTGCTTTCTAGTCTCTAGGTTAAATAATATCAAAAAGATATTTGAAGATGTGGTTTCTTTACAGATTATATAAATTATTCTACAAATAAAATTGCCATATGTTACACTCTGAAGAAAATACACAGACACCCTGAAAGACCACTTAAAATAGGCAGGAGGTGGTGTAAATATGTATATGGTACATAGTAGGTCTTTAAGTGGTGATGACGATTGCTGTCAGTTTAAACGACAGTGTGCCTAATCCTGTGTAATTTCAAAACGAGAAAATACTGACTGAAAGTTATATAATGCTTTTATGAAGCCAAAGCTATGTTAAAGCTAAAACTGTTTCTGATCTTAACAAAAGCTACGTTTTTCTCAAAGTGACACTTGAAAAATACCTTCTGAAGCAGCCCTGGACACCCACTGAAGTGTCAGTTTATTAGCATAGTTTCAGTTAGCACTGTTTATTTGAAAATGATGTAATGTGTGTGTATATTTATATACCTAAAACCTGTATTTTTAATTTATAGGATTTGCTGTCACAGATGCATCACTACAATGCTGGGGTTAAACAAAGTGCTCTTCTTGGACTTAAAGACCTTTTGTCTCAGTACCCATATATAATTGATGCACACCTTTCAAACATATTAAGTGAAGTGACTGCTGTGTTTACAGATAAAGATGCTAATGTACGATTAGCAGCAGTTCAACTTCTTCAATTCCTGGCCCCCCAAATACGAGCTGAACAAATTTCTCCATTTTTTCCCTTGGTAAGTGCCCATCTCTCTAGTGCCATGACTCACATTACTGAAGGAATTCAGGAGGACTCTCTGAAAGTTTTGGACATTCTGCTGGAACAGTACCCAGCTCTGATTACTGACCGTAGCAGTATATTGCTTAAGAATTTTGTAGAACTTATTTCTCATCAGCAGCCGTCCAAAGGACTGGTAAATAGAGGCAGACCCCAGTCCTGGATACTTTCTGTAAATCCTAATCGGAGACTCACTTCTCAGCAGTGGAGGCTGAAAGTCTTAGTGAGACTCAGTAAATTCCTTCAGGCCCTGACAGATGGATCCAGTAGGTTGAGAGAAAGTGAAGGACTTCAGGAACAAAAAGAAAATCCCCATGCCACTAGCAACTCCATTTTTATCAACTGGAAGGAACATGCCAACGACCAGCAGCACATCCAGGTTTATGAAAATGGGGGTTCACAGCCAAATGTCAGTTCACAGTTCAGGCTACGGTAAGAAGGATTTCAGTTATGTCCACACTCAGTTTTCCTATATTGAATTATAACTGCTGACCATTGATGGCTATATGGTGGGAGACATGCAGTTGTCTTCCATAGTTGCATATAGTTACTCATAATTTGATTTCATTTACTGATGGGAGGAGTCATTTCCAAGTATATTAATTTACTCATTTCTAGCAAAGCCTAATGAAAACTAAAAATTGATAGTCTTTTGGCTTTGTCATCTTAGAATTCTGTTTTTCTTGCTAGTGTTGATCAATGTAATTATCAATTCATGGTGCTTCATTTTGCTGGTACTTAATATATTTAAGATTTAAATTAAGCAAGGAGTAATATTTTTTAATTAAAAATTTTTCATTCTTACCTTTCCTTACTAGGTGTCTGGTTGGAGGACTAGGCACGGTGGATGAAGGCCTGTCATCTACTGAAAACTTGAAAGGATTTATTGAGATCATAATTCCACTGCTGATTGAGTGCTGGATTGAAGCTGTGCCTCCGCAGCTGGCGGCTTCTGTTGGAAGTGGTGTAGAACGAGAGCCTCTGCAGGTTATGCAGCAAGTTCTTAACATTATTTCCCTTTTGTGGAAACTCTGTAAACAGCATGATGAAACTCATAAATTGGTGAGAACTACTGGGTTATTTTCTGAGTAATGCCTTTTGTCATAACTGGACAGATTAGAAATCAGTGTATTACTACTAACTGGTTATGCATTTTCTGAAAAATACTCAAGATTTAACTATAAACTTCTAACATTTGCTCAAAACTGCAAATTAAAATAATTCTATGAGTTTATTATCTGTATGTTTTAATTTTTAAATGAAATGTATAACAAGGTGCTTGATTTTTTTTATTAGCTATATAATAATGTTACGTTGTATTACTTATGGCAGATTTATTATGTAGGAACATTCTAGTGTCTGGAGACCTCTTACATGATTTAAAAAGTTGGTTATTAAGTAGTCTCTTCCAGTTTGGGCCACGTTACAGAGTTTATGCCAAGAAATGGACGAAACTGAAGATCTCATACCTAACCCTGAGTTGTTTTTAAACTACTAAGTTTCAGGGAAGAAACTATGTAAATTTGCTTGGTGTATGTTTTTTTGTTTTTTTTTCTTGATAAAGGATATAAATTGGAAAACATTTCTTAAAGTTAACCTTTACTGTAGGTAAGCTGCAGTTGCAGGTATGGTGCAAATTCAAATAGAAATAGTATTTAAAAGCATCCATTGGTAGAGTTCTCTAATTTACCCTGGCAGATTGAACTATAATAACTGAACAAGGTAAATCTGTTACTTTGCAGACAAAGTATAAATATGTATGTTACACCAGATGACATTAAAATGCCTGTTAGTTTATTTTTCATTACCATTCCTGCTGTTAGTTCCTCTTTCTCATTCACCTTAGTTATAGCTTAGTACTTAAGGTATTGAGTGGTCAAAGTTCAAACTTCAGGAGGAATGAAATGGCATTCCTTGGTCTTAAATTCTAATTATGCACCACAGGCTGAATTGTAGCTCTTTTCTCTCAGAAAATGTGTAGGTTTCTGTTGATAAATTGGCATCTGTATTAGGGTGCAACCTTAGGGTAACTGACTGCTTACTTTTTAAGTTTTGCTAAATGCATATAGTGTGTTTGTATTTTGCTGCATAATTGAGAAGTTTCATTTTTGTCCAAGTATTTTTTTTAAAAAGCTTTTTAGGAATTTGAAATCTTTTCATCTTTGAAAAGAAATCTCAAGTTAACATTAAATCTTATTTGCAGTGGTTGAGTACTCAGATCCTGACTGAGGTGGTTTATATGTAATACACTCTTTGTATCCTTAGGATTCTTAATTTAAAGTATACTGTATTTAATATTTTTAAAACACACAGTGTTTTAAAATACAGTGTAACATTAACTTTTTAATTAACTTCATTTTTTGGGGTCCTGTATTATTAACTTTAGGTCAGTAGTATAATTTTATACACTATAGAGATTTTGTTGTGTCCTAGCTTTGTATTTTAATGCTTGCTACTTTCAGTCTAAATGTTTCCTTATTGTTTCATTTTTACCATGAAGATCATAATCTGTGAGAAAGAGTTAGATGCAAAGGTTAATTGAATATCTATAAATTTGGCTGTTTAATTAAAATTTAGTTCCTCAGTAAACAGTAGTCACATTTCAGATGCTCAGTAGCTTCAGGTGGCAGTGGCTACTGTATTGGGCAGCACAGATACAAAAACAAAATGCCTCTGTCACTGCAGAAAGGTCTTTTGAATAGCGCTGCTTTGCAGTGAGTTAGGTTCTGTCTAGACTCTGGGAATACAGAGATAAACATGACTGACAAGGCAAACACTTAGCTCCTGGTGGGGTTGAGAGATGGCAAACAAATAGCTGATGTCCATCATGTCATCATTAGGAAGAAAGATGAAAGTGGGTAAGAGAGAAGATGTAATGAAACAGTGTTCGGGGAGGGACCTGTTAACTAGGTGGTCAGGAAATGCCTTCTTAACATTTGCATGTCAGTGAATGAAGAGAAGGAGCAAGTCTTGTGAAGACCTGTAGGAAGACCCTTCTAGGCACAGGGAACAGCAAGTGCAAAACCCTGAAGTGAGAACAGATTTGACATATTTGAGGAATGGCAGCAGGCCTGTGCAAGTGAGGTCCTGGGAGAATGGTGGGTGATGAAGGGGACGTGACGGACAGTAGCCACATCATGTGGTACCTTGTAGTCTGTGGTAAAGACTTAGAATTTTAACCTGAGTGTGGTGAAAAGACATTGGAGGGTTTTGAGCAGGGGAGTGGCATGGTCTAAATTATGTTTATTTAACTTTAATATGCCAGATTTACAAATAAAACAGTTAAAAACACCCATGTCCTCATTCTCCAACTCTAGCGAAACTGGGGCCCAACTGAGATCATTGATCCCATGGATGACCTGTCCTTCCTTTATATACATTATCTCCTTTATCCTTCCCTGTAATACTGTGAAGTAGGATTTGTGTTTTAAAAGATCACCCTGGCTGCCGTGTAGAGAGTTAAGTTTAGGGGGGCAAGAGGAAAAGCATGAGGACCTTTGGGAGCCTGAGACAGCAGTCTTAAGTGGGAGGTGATAGTGGCTTGAAGTCGAACGGCAGCTGGTGGTTGAAGTGATGAGAAGCAGCTGGATTCTGGTGAAACCAGCAGGAATGCTGGTGTGTGTAGTTAAGGAAAGAGGAGCAGGGGTGATGCCTGTACTGTGGTCCAGATGATGGTGTGACTGCCCGTAGGAGAGTTCAGTTTATTCATGTTAAGTTGAAGATGCCTAGAAGTCCAGGAGGAGTTGTCAAGGACACATTTTTAGGTCAAGAAAAAGAGGACCCAGTGAAGGTAACTAGGGAGATGTGCTGCAATAGCTAGCTGATGACTTATGGTCTGAGTTTGGCCTCCAGTTTTGCTAGAGCTGGAGCTAGCTATTGTAGCGTCTCATGTCCCATATCCCAAGCAACCCCTCAGCCACTGGCAGACTGGAATGATTGGTCCTCTGGATAGTAGGGAATCAGTGATTCAGGTAGGAGAACATGATACATTGAAGAATACTGCTGAAGAATTTAGACAAATACATTGATTTGAGAAGGTGTTAAATGCCTTTAACAAGCAATAGAATTTCTAGAGAATATAGTTACTCTTAAATGGAACACTAGGTAGAAGATTTTCTTGTATATTTTATAAACATTGTACTAGTAGTTCAAATTCAGAATTTTATTAAATCTTACTTTCTCCCTTTTTTCTCCTTTTAAGTAGTTGAAATGCATGTAAAAATGAAAGTACCAAAAAGAACTGTGGGTGAAAATTGGATGGCCTAACAGTTTATTCAGATTTTAAGATTTATTTACATATTATATCATTAGCAAAAGATGTGTTATAAGGGTAAATTGGTAAATGAATATTGACAAGTTGTTAAGTTTCTGCTTAAAGTCTTATTTGCTGTTTTAAGTTATTGTTTCTTATAGATTTTTTAATCTGTGCTTATTTTACTAGGAGTCATGGCTTCGAAAGAATTACCTTATTGATTTCAAACACCATTTTATGAGTAATTTTCCATATGCCTTAAAAGAAATAACCAAGCAAAAAAGGAAAGAGACAAATAAAAGGTATTGCCATTCTCTCCCACTGTTTAACCTGACATTTTCAGAGAACAGTCTTACACTGAACTTTGTACACTGCAAGTTGTTATCTAGACTGTGAAGTAAAAATAAAAGCTGTAGTATCTGATCTTAAACAAGTCACTTTAAGCCCCGGACTTCCAATTTTACTTAGCTTTTATTTTTAATCTGTGAAGTGAATGTTTTGTGCTAAATGAGTGTCAGCTATCAAATTGTATAGATAAGAATTTAATAAAAATTTGCTGAGAGTGGATAGTTTGTTTGTGAGAGGCACTGTGTAATTACTGAATCTTTGAGAGCATAGCATCACTAGTTTCTGCTCTCATTTATATACACAAGGAAGCGTAGTGTAACAATTATCAGTATCCTGATGGAAGAGGGATAATTGGAGAAAAGCAGTTCTCTTTTTTAAAATAAGTGGAAAGAACAAATTATGGATGAAGTTTCACTGGAAAAGTGTAAGCCTGGAAGTTATTTGAAATGTTTACCTAAAGTAAGAGCAGATAAATGTGAAAACAAATTACCCAATAAAATTTGACAAGCAGATACAGATACTCAAGGTGCAATTCCCCAAATGAGCAAACGCTTGAACAGATTTTAAAGTCTGTCAGAAGGTTCTTAAATTTATCAAAAGGAAGAAACTACTTGGAGAATCAGTGAGGCTCTTTGGGCAGAGTTCAGAGGATATGCTCAGAAGTGATAAGTATGTTGTAGGCAGATAAACTTCATTCGCTGAAGTTTTTTGGTCTCTCACTGTAAGTAAAGTATTATGACAGATAATTAGATGTCCTAAGGTATATTCTTTGATCTCTTAAGTGATTCATAAATTGCAAAAATCAATACAAAGTCTTAAAATTGATAAAAATGTGTGTCAGGCTCTAGTCATGAGATGGAAATCATACCAGTGATTTTCACAGAGAATTTAATAAAACCGGTTGTTAACTAGGTATTAAACTAGGTATTTCCTAGCTTAATGGAAAATGGAAACGAGGCATTTCCACTTAATAGTGGAAAGACAAAAGGGAACAGCAAGGTCTTGTCGCGGTAGACCGGCTGGAAGCGACCACTGCCTCCTGACTGGAGAGCAAAGAGAACAGGGCAAGTGGCTGGAAGGAAAGGCTGCAGCCCAAACTCAGGCCTCGAGGAGGGGGTTTGCACTCAGCTGGGACTAATGTCTTTGGGATCAGGAGAGGGGCCCAGTGGGGCAGGGGTACAGGCTCAGTGAAGGGGGTTCTGCTGGCTGGCGCTGGTGTTCTAGGGGCACGATGATACTGGTTCTGCATCAGGAAAGTAGACTGGAACCAACTCTGGCTGCTGGAATGAACTGCTGCTAGCCTGAAGAGTGGTTGGGTTGCACTGGTGGCAAAAGGAAGCAAAAAATAGGACCAGGAAGCAAACAGAAAGTGCCGCATCTTCCTCCTACAGCCTTCTGGTCTCAGGTACCCTTTTGCTTCCAGGTGGCTCAGCAGTGGAGAACCCTCCTGCCAGTGCAGGGACAGATTTCCATCCCTGGGTTGGTAAAATCTGCTGGGGAAGGAAATGGCTACCCACTCCAGTATTCTTGCCTAGGACATCCCATGGACAGAGGAGCCTGGTGGGCTGTAGTCCACAGGGTTGCAGAAGAGTCTGACACAGCTTTGTGACTAAACAGTAACAAGCACTTTATTGGCAGAGCCTAACAAGAAGCAAACTGTAAAGGAAAAAATGTGGCTCACCCCTAGGATCACAGAGTAAGAATGTGGAAGGGTGGTTTTAAGGCTGAGAACTCAGCCTCAAGCTCAGTAACTTGCAGGAAGAAAAATGAATCTACATATTTCACACAAGACATATTTAAGTGTCATTAGAACTTTATAATTAAGAAATGCTATGGGAATTCATAGGAGAAGACAGATCCTTCTTAGGATAAACAGACATAAAGCAGTGTTGGAGAGTAGTGTTTTAACGTGAATGTGATTTTAGCAGGCAGAAGTGAAGTGGGGGATGATTGCAGTAATGAAAAGAGATATTATAGGGTATGAGAAAGCTATAAAATCACATAATGGAGAACACGGGACAGACCTGGATCAAATTGGTTTCTACTGATGACTAACTTTAATGCTGAAAGTCATTTTTTGTCTCTGACCCTCATTTCTCTTTCATCCTTGATCCTTTTGGCATTGAAGGCTATTGGTTGGATCAAAACCATGTTTTAGGACCATTAATTTAGAGTTTCTGGAGTTGGAGGTGACAGAGAATCAAATAGGGAGATACTTTCTTGAGCAAGTAAGTTGTTAGGGTTTGCTTCCTCCAGATACAGTTTTCTTATTAACACAGAAGTTTTTAATCAGGTGCATGGATAAGGTTCAGAATATCCTTCAACGCGTGAATATAATTATATGTGTTTTTTTTATGTTGTCAAGTAAGAGGTTTCAGATGTAATTTTCATCAAAATGAGATTAAATAAAAGGATGTTTGGAATTTGGTAGACCATTAAATGTAAGTAAACTACTCAAGAGCATATGGGTGTAGTGTTACTATTCACTTTATTGGACACTTAATATGTTGAAGGCACTTAGGAAAAAGAGTGTAGGGTAATAAGAGTATATCAGTATAGTAAGGAGCTGGTCTTGCTCTTTCACGGGGGGCATAGGTCCTGGGGGGGCTGCCTGCCTAGGGAGTGATTTGTGCTAAGATATAGAAGGTGGAAAAGGAATTAGCGATGAAGAGACTGAGGTGGTAAAATTGTGGAATTTTTAACAAAAGCGGATTGACAGTATTATCATAAATTTCCCTAGTGATTTGTTTTGAGGGTCCGCAGGCTGCTCTTGAGCTTCCATAAGGAAGCACGTTGAATATTCCGCAGATTGCCTTTGGAGGCTCTCTACTAAATTCACAAAGTTAGAGGACCCAATGTGGCCTAGGCCGGTGGTCTTCAGTTTTGACCTGATGTCTAGATTTTTTTAATCTTGGGTTGAACTGTGGAGTTACAAAAGATATTATTTTCATTGTGGTAAAATGTCCATAGCATAAAATTTAGCATTCTAACCATTTTTAAAGTGTACTGATCAGTGCATTAAGTACATTCACATTTTTCATGCTACCAGTCTGAAACTCGGTACACATTAAATAACAGCTTCCTGTGCTCTTCTCCCTCCAGTACTGGGAACCACTCTTGCACTTTTCCCCTTGATTAATTGGACTGTTCTGGTACCACGTATCAGTAGAAACTTGAGGTATTGTTTTGTGTCTGGCTTAACTTCACTTAGCATGATGTCTTTAAGGTTTATTCATGTTGTGGCACTGCTAGCATTTCATTCCTTTTTTTTTTTTTAATGGAGTTTATTTTTTAGAGCAATTTTAGATTCCTAGTAAAACTGAACAGAAAGTATGGCGTCCTCGTACACTACTCCTGCCCCCGTGGATGCACAGCCTCCCCCACGTCAGCATCCCGCACCAGAGTTGTGTGTCTGTTGTAAAATGCAAACCTCAGTGACGCGTCACTGATCCTGGGGTCCTCGGTCTATGTGAGGGGTCGCTCTTCTCGCTGTACAGTCTGGTTTTGTGTAAAGACATGGTGTCACACGTGGTATTCTCACTGTCCCAGAAGCAGGTTGCCCTCCAAGTACGCATTCTGCATCTATGGATTCAGAAAATCACAATCCATACACATGATACACCATCTGCAGTTGGTTGAATATGTGGATGCAGAACGGTATGGAGGGCTAACAGTATTCTTCACCACCATGCACTCACAGTTTAAAAGAACATGCCAGTTTCACGTAAAATTGTTCTTAAGTAAAAATTACTAATCTTATTAAGTCACAATCCTTGAAGACACATATTTTTAATATTCTGTGTGGTGAAATGGGAAGTGTGCCTGAAGTATTTTGGCTGCATACCAAACAATGATGGTTGTCTCGAGGAAAAGCACTTGTCATTCTGTTTGTATTTTCTGCGATGGACATGATTTTAATTTGAATGACTAACTATGTTTATTCAGACTTGGGTATTTGTAGATACTTTCTCAGAAATGAAAAAAATAAACCTATCAATTTCAGGAAAATAGTGTCTGTGCTAGAGATAAAATTTGAACTTTCAAGCAAAAATTAATATTTTTGGAGAACTTGTATCCACCATCTGAGTGTTATCTGTATATTCTGTTTTTTTGCTCTTCATTTTTTTCATCTCTCTCCATTAGGCTTATTTAGAAGCTGCTAGAGGGTTTACACACACACACACACAAATACATACATACATACATACATACATACATATATATATATATGTATATATATATAAAACGAAGGAGAATATATGTATTCTCCTTTATTTCCAAGGACTGTTTTAACAGAGCACAGTGCTTGGGCTTGGCAGTTTTCTTGTTTGAGCATACTGACCCGTACTGACTGCAACGCTTGGCTCTGTTGGTTCCCACTGCTGTTAGGAACTCAGCTATGAGTCAGAACTGTTGCTACTTTATGAAAGTTCCTTCCCTCCCCACCCCCCCACCTCCCCATAAGACTTTGCTCCTTGTCTTTTATTTTCTGCAGTTTGACAATGATGTATCCAGGTGTGGTTTTCTTTTTTATTGATTTTTCCTTGGAACTCAGTGAGCTTCTTAAATCTGAGATCTTGAGTGAAGTGTCTAAACACATCTGAAAAATTCTCATCTTTAAAAAAAATTAATGCCATTTTTCTGCTTCCCTTTAAAGACTAATTGATTGTATATAAGACCCACTTACTGAATTTTTTGTTTCTTTGTCTCATTCAAACATACATTTGTTGAATTTGTTTTGTTTATTTTTCAGTTCTAGAGTTTCTGTCCAGTTATTCCAGCACTGTGCGGAAAAGACTCGTTTCTCTTTTGGATTGCTTCTGCTCCTTTGTCTGAACTCATCGGTTGACTGTCTTGTAGGCCTGTCTTGGGGCTTTTCCGCTGACCTGTGTTTGTCTGTTTGTTCACCAGTTCTGTGCTGTCTTGCTTACTGTAGTACAGTAAGCCTTGAAATCGAGTGGTGTGAGTCCTCCAACATTGCTCCGCTTCGGTCTTGTGTTGGGTAGTCTAGTGTTTGCCTTTGTGTGTAAACTTCAGAAATCATTTTGTTGATAACTATAAAGTAACTGGCTGGCATTTTGATTGGAATTGTGTTGACTATATAGATCTAGTTAGGGAAAATTGTTGCGTTAACTACTGAGATGATGCATAACTGGGATTGTTTTATGTAAGAGCTCTTTTTACTTCCAGTTCACCCTTACTCTGGCAGGGAGTCCTTACGGATTCAGCTTGAAGTAGGGATAATATACCAGAGTCCCCGTGTTTGTCTGGCTCTGGAGTTTGACTCTTCCCTGTCAGGCCTCTGAAAGGTTAGTTCCGTTTTCCAGCCTTTTTGTTGGAATTGGCAGCAGCCCTTGGAACCTGAGTGCTGTGATCTGCTTTATTTTGGGGACCCAGCAATTGTTCATCATCTTGTTACCTCTTGAATGCTTTTAAGTTGTTAAAAACTATTTCATCCAGCCTTTAAAGTTATTTTCAGGAAGGGAATCAGTTCTAATTTCTTCCTCTATCATTGCTGAAAATGAGTTTCCCCAGTTTCCTGTCTCCCTCATAGAATTGGTGGTCAGTGTATTTAGACTTTAAAATTTTGTGTAAATTCTTGGAGGAGCAGGATGAATTCTCTGAACTTTTGAATGTCTGTTGACACCTTCCAGACAGTAATAGGTCAGTAGATCTTCAAAAGTTCTACCTGTGGTGAAGGAATGGTGCAGTTGAATTTTTGTGTGGTCTGGTTAGTGTAAAACGTGCCTTGGTTTTGGGCACTGAACAGTTCTGCAAAGAACCCACCAGTGGTTTTGGGTGTGCAGTGTAGATCAGTGCTCACCTGTCCCAGTTTCCAGTCGTTCTGGGTGTGTAGTGTAGATCAGTGCTCACCTGCCCCAGTTTTCATCCACTCTCTCTCTGTGATAGAATCCCCGGTTCTTTGCTGTGCTGTGCTCACTCCCTCACTCAGTTAGGTCCCGACTCTGCGGCCCCGTGACTGTAGCCCGCCAGGCTTCTCTGTCCATGGGGATTCTCCAGGCAAGAACACTGGAGTGAGTTGCCATGCCCTTCTCCAGGGGATCTTCCCAACCCAGGGATGGAACCCAGGGCTCCCACATTGCGGCCGTATTCTTTACCAACTGAGGCACCAGGGAAACCCAAGAATACTGAAGTGGGTGGCCTATCCCTTCTCCAGGGGATCTTCCCAACCCAGGAATCGAACTGGGGTCTCCAGCTCTGCAGGTGGATTCTTTACCAGCTCAGCTAAAAGCTCACATACATGTATGCATTTAAGCAGATTTCAAATCCAGCTAGTTTTTATTCTTGCTATACATCCCCCGTTCTCCTAGTCTGTGCCAGCGTTGTTTCTTGAGCGTGTCACGTCTTGCCTGTATTGCTCAAGTAGACGTACAGCTACTTCTTTGTTTAGAGTCTTGTAACTGATATTTTCTTTTTCATCAGCAAAAATGAAAGAACTTTTCAACTATGTCACTCCTGCGCTTGCAGAATTGATTTTAGTGTCCTTAGTTTTCAACTCTTTGTGATCTGGTCCTATTTGTCATTCCTAACCCTACATTTGATACCCTAATAACACCAAATATTTAAAATTTCCCTCCCCTTGTATTTGTGGTTTCTTACGACTGTGTCCTTTCTCATGCCTAATCCAGGGTTAACTTTCTTTTAAAATAAGTTAGTTTCAGGTATTTTTTTAGTTTAATCAACTTCACATGTTTCTGAACATGAAAATAAATAGGCTCTGCTGTTGAATGCAGTGTAGCCTGAAATCTACACTGTGTTTATATAGTGTTTATATATCTAGTGGTTTCTATCCTTAGTTGCAAATTTTGTTTTTGTTAAAATAATCTGTTAGAAAAAGTGATTGTAATATGTGAGTCATAAAATTAAATTGTTTCAGAATCAGGCTTATCTAGACCAGTCTTCTGTTTCACACATAAGGAAATTGTGGCCAGGAGAAATTAGTGATTCTGTTAAGTCAAAATTAGTTAGAAGCAGAATCAAGGTCTTTCGTGAGTTTCATCCTAATATAAATATCTTATTAACAAAAATCCTCAAGTGTATTGAAGTTTCAAGTGTTCTTATCCCTGCAGTACATCTAGGATTACCACACCGTGTTTCAAGGGCCTGTAGTTCTTGTGTGAATAGCAACTTGGGTAATGAACTGAGCAGTATGCATTCTTAATTTATGCCTTAACAACTCTGATTCTGTAATGAATGGTTTGCTTACAGTCACTTTAATATACCTACCTTCTTGGCAGTTCATTCTGGGAGGAATAGGTAAGTGTTTAAGTGAAGCAGGCATGGTAGATACAACACTTAACAGTTATGTGTGTCTTTGTTTTTAGCATCAAGCATTGCACGATTCTCTCGAATAATGTAGATCACCTTTTACTGAATTTAACACTGTCTGATATCATGGTCTCCCTGGCAAATGCCTCAACTTTGCAGAAGGATTCCAGTTGGATAGAAAGGATAAGGAAATTTGTAACAGAAACCCTTGAAGATGGGTGTAGGCTAAACAGTAAGCAGCTGAACAGATTGCTTGGCGTCTCCTGGAGGTTAATGCAGATGCAGTCAAACAGAGGTGGGTGTCAATGCTCTGTCCTTACTTGAGAGGGACTCTTACGCATACTGTTGATGTTGAGCATCTAACTTTGAGTTCATAACTGTCAAACATTTCACAGTCATTTACGTTCAAGCCATAAAAGGTAGCCAGCATAATCATGAAGGAATGTCTCCTTGAACCTGATGGCTGAGAACACCCCCTTTTCGGTGGGTAGGTCCACTCTGAAGCTGATGGGTAGGTTTTCTACTAGATTACATAGTTGGAGTGAAAGGAGGTAAGTTTTATTAAGAGGAAATGACATTGAGCCTAAGGATGAAGAAACACTCTTTTCTGATTTAATTTGACTAGAAATTGGTGGATCCTTATCTCTTTACCTTTCTTGTAACTTGAAGTTATGTTGCATTAAGTCAGTTTTTAGTGTGACTTACTAGTTCTTTTCATTCAAGCAGAACTTTGCTGTTTGGTTCCTGGCTTATCCACCTTTCTAGTATTGTGGTTTTTGTTGTCCTTTCCTAGGTTTGTTGTCTCTCAGGAAAATTTGTACTGTAATCTCCGATTGGTTTGACTTTTTTATTAGGCCATTGATGTAGGATTTTGATAGTAGTCTCAGTTTGTGGCTAAAATCTGCTTCCTTATAGGAACAAGGTGATTCTGTGCTTTTTAGAAGAACTATGATGCTGGTGAAGAAACATTTTGACTCACATGCAGTTGTTTTCTCTTGTTTTTTAGAGGCTACAGAGTCTCTCATAAAGGCAGTTTATACATTGTATCAGCAGAGAGGCCTTCTCCTTCCAGTTCGGACTTTGTTACTGAAGTTTTTCAGTAAAATCTATCAAAGAGAAGAACTGAGATCTTACAGAATCCGGTACAGTTCCTTTGTTATTTTGCTTTTGTTTTTCTTACCAGGTTACTTTGTAATCTGTATGAGTAAGATGATAGAGTGATTAAATCTTTGGAGAAATTCTTCTTATCCTTTTTGGTTTCATTAAAAAAAATTTTTTTTAATAAAAAGGCATACATAATAGTTCCAATAACCTTTATACACATAACTGAGAAGGTAAAAGTCTCTTTTAGCATGTATTTCCACTTGTCTGCTTAACAGCTAAAGGACAATTATTGGAACCACCTGTAGCAGCCTCAGATTTTTGTTTTGCTTCCCATAAATTATGGAGGTTTAACCTCCAGCCGTTAGGGACATATTGGGACATACGGTATAAGAATGAGGGCAGTAGAAGAGGACAGGTGTACAATAGGAGAAGGAGATTAAAAGGCGCAAACCTAGTTATAAAGTGAGTAAGCCACGGGGGTATAATACACAGCATAAAGAATATGACCAGTAACTTTTATTAGGACAGGTGGTTACTAGACCTGTGGTGACCATTTGCAATGTGTACAGATGTCAGATTATTATGTGATACATACCTGAAACTAACATATTACTGTGTGTCAGAAATGTTTCAATAAATTTTTAAATGATGGTATCTTAAAGAGCAAAAGTGTCCAGCTTGGTTTGGTGCTGTCTGGTGACGCAGACAACACGAAGAGTAGAACTCAGGAATCAGTCTTAGATGTGGTGAGTTTGAGGTTTACTTGGGATAGTCTGGAAGAGATGTTTGGGTGAAAGATAACGAGATTTGGGGTACCTCAGCATACATAGGTAGTTGTTAGAACATATTCGAGTCTTTACTGTGAGTCAGGTGCTTTTCTTAATTTTTCAGTAATTCTCATACTTTGATGTAGGTACTGTTGGTTTCTGCCCTAGGTTAAATAAGTTGGTGAGTGTCATGCTGTTAGAGGGCAGCCAGACTGAGACTTAAGTTCAAGTCTGTTAGACTCCAAAGGTCGTGTGTAAATCACTGAACTCTTGGGGGACAAACAAAAGTGTTTGCTGTGTCCAAGGTGAGACATCAGAGAGTGAGCAAGTCTGTGAAAGAACGGAAATAACCCAAGTTTGAAGCCACTTAATGCGGGGGCACCCTATACTGAATGCGTCAATGACTTAATATGGTGAAATAGTCATTACGAATCAGTGTAAGTAGTTCACAAGCTAAGTAGAGCCTGTGTCCTTTAAGATAAAATTACAATGTACATAGTGCCCCAAACTACATAAACCTTTAAAATACAGTGGGTGAAACCTTAGAGAATACCACAGCTGAACAAAGCATGCCAGCCGTCTTCCAGGCTCTCCAGTGTTTAAATAAATGTGCTGTATTTCCGTTTCCTTTGGTGGCCTTAGGTACCGTAGTAAAGTGTTATCACGTTGGTTGGCTGGTTTACCACTGCAGCTTGCTCATCTCGGCTCCCGAAATCCTGAGCTTTCAACACAGCTTATTGACATCATCCACACTGCTGCAGCCCGAGCAAATAAAGAGCTTCTCAAAAGTTTACAAGTTACTGCTCTCCGAATCTATGGTAAGAGTTGTGTTTACCTGTGTAAGTAATAATCGGTCTACCCCGACTTAAGAACGATGTTTCAAAGGGGGGGTCTTTAGGTTTTACTTTTCCTTCAAATTATACGTTAATTGTACCATGGTATAATGAACAAAATATCAAACAGTAAATTCATTTTCAATAGTATTACTTAATACAATAGTTTTGGAAAATTAAAGGTTGTAGATGTTTCTTCAGATCTTAAATTCTCTTTTAAGCCACGAAATTCACAAATTCAAAACTGATCAGGTATTTTTACAGAATTCTTTTGAAACTTTGATGGCAAATTTTACTTATTTAATCATTATTGAGATCTTGTATGGCTTTCATATATTAATGTTTTACTCACCCCTGAAACCTTTTCATTCTTTAAGCAAAAATATCAATAAAAATAAACATATATACATATGTATAATTAGTATTTATTATTAGGACACAGTTCATATACCATAAAATTGGCCATTTTACACTGTGCAATTCACTAATTTTTATTATATTCCCAAGATTGTGCAATAGTCACTATTATCTTATTCCAGAATATTTTTATCGCCTCAAGAAGAAACTCCACCATTAGTAGACTGTCCCTGTTTCCTCATTGCTTCCTTCCTCAGCTCCTGGCAACCACTGCTCACCATTTCTGTCTCTCTGTATTTGCTTGTTTTGGTCATCTCTCACAGATGACATTGTGTGATGTGGATCTTCTCAGTCTGGCTTCCATCACTTGGCATACTGTTCTTAAGATTCATTCATGTTGTAGCATATACGAATACTGTATTTCTTTTTAATGCTGAGTAACATTCCACTGTTGAATATACACCACTTTATATTTACCCATTTATTAAGTGACAAATGTTGGTTTGTGTCTACCTTTTGTGTGTGGTATTTTAAAATCTGTATTTTTCAGTGTTGCTTATATGTAGGAGCGTGTGTATATACTCAAATAAGTCTTTGGTTTTAAATTCAGTTCAGTTTAGTTGCTCAGTTGTGTCCGACTTTTTGCGACCCCATGAACTGCAGCATGCCAGACCTCCCTGTCCATCACCAACTCCCAGGGCCCACCCAAACTGATGTCCATCGAGTCGGTGATGCCATCAGATTAGGTTGATATTATAATTGTCCCTGTTTGGCAAAAGTGCTTGGTTTTTTACTGTTTTGCTTTGTTTCTAATACCTTTAACTCCATCAGTTTTTATTTCAAGTAACACATTCGAATGTTATGAAATCGAGTGTTAAATGTTATCTTTAAATAATGATTGTATTTCGTCTTACTCTAGGCAGTACCTTAAGCCATACATATATGCTTTGTGATAAAATTTTTTTCCATGTAGTTGATATGTTAGAATTCAACATAGCACGGTGAAAATGATCAGTCTGCTTTATTAATTCTTGTTTGTATATCTTTTAAAATTTAACTTGTCTTCCTGCCTCACTAGATCCACAAGAAGGCACGGTGGTGGTTCTCCCAGCAGAGTCTCAGCAGCTTTTGGTCCAGCTTGTGTATTTTCTACCCAGTCTGCCTGCTGACTTGCTTTCTCGGTTAAGCCGCTGCTGTATTATGGGAAGACTCAGTGCAAGTTTGGCTGCCATGCTTATCGGGATCCTGCACATGAGGTAGCATGCTGAAGTGAGCTGTATTTCAAGTGTATAATCTTCTCCCTCACCCTTCCCCTGTCACTGGCAGTTTATGAACTGACTTTTTAAAATGCCACCCCTCCCTTCATTTGCTCTTGAAACAGCAGTTAAAACTGTTGATGTTGCTGGGTAAGAGGAAGGTCACTGGGGCAAGCCTGTTCCAGGTGGTTTGCTGAGCGGTTTGCATTGTCCTGGTTGCAGTCACTATGTTCGTGGGCTGTAGTCCACCAGGCGCCTCTGTCCATAGGCCTTTCCAGGCAAGAATACTGGAGTGGGTTGCTGTTTCTTTTTCCAGGGGATCTTCCCGACCCAGGGATTGAACCCTTGTTCTGCTACACCACAGGTGGATTCTTTACCGCTGAGCCATCAGGTAGATGATTTGTGTAGGTGGATTTGTGTAGGTGGATTGAAACAAGGGTTAAGATTATCAGAAGTGTGTAGCCATAGTAAGGATTCAGTGGCGGATGAGTGCTGTGTTTTAAAACTTCTGGTGGTATGAAATTGTAATACAGGTCTTTCTTTTTGGAAGGGAGCTCAGTTCAATGTAGGTGGTGAAATAAAAGCTTGCGGACTCAGACTCAGACAAGGAATCATTAAAATATCTTTGGGTGGGTGGGCGTGTGTGTGGCAAAATATACATAACCTAAAACTTCCCATTTTAACCAGTTTTAGGTATACAGTGAGAGCTGTTTGGAGCATCAAGTACATTCACACTGTTGTGTGACTGCTACCCCTGTTCATCTCTAGCACTGTCACCGTTGCAGACTGAAACTCTGCTGATTATCCCCCTTCTCCCAGCCCTTGTTTACCACTATTTTGTCTTCATGATTTTGATATATTCATCTGTTAATGGATACTTGGTTGTTCTGCCTTTTGGCTGTTACAAATAATGCAGCTATACACATTGGTGTGCAGATACGTGTTTGAATCCTTTTAATTCTTTTGGCTGTATACCCAGAAGTAGAATTGCTGGATCATATGTTAATTTTCTGTTTAATTTTTCAAGGAACTGCTTTCCAGAGTGTGACTGTACTGTTTTACTCTCAAAGGTCTTAAAACTAATAGTGTTTCATGTTGCTAGTGTTAAAGTATCCTTTAAAACTTAATGTTTGTATCAGGCATAGTACTTTCATATTCAGCCATTTGTTACTGATTGTGGCTCAAGGCCAGGGTCTGATACAGTTTTAGGCAGGAGTTGAATCTGGACTGTAGCTGAAAAATTTAAAAACTAGCTTCTTTGTGGCTTCTTGTGCAGACCCTCTGCCCCAATTAAACAGGAGTGGCTCACTTTATTAGTAGATTTTCTTTAGCTTTGTTTGCCAGTCTCTTCATACCAGGATAGGACATATGTTTGAATGTTGTCACCCAAAGTGTGCTTCGTAACTGATGATTACTTTTTCCTTTTAGCAAAGGAGAGCTGTTGGCAATATGTTGTCTATATGTGAAACCCCGCTTTGTCTAGTTCAGTACTAAATGCCAGGTCTTTAAGAAATACAATTTAACTTAAGTGGTTTCATGTCTGTTAACTTCCAGTAGAGGGCACTCTTTTCCCATGATAGAACTCGTGGAGGATCTGTTTTAACATTCATTTAAAAGTGACTTTTGAACACCTCTTAAAATTAATTCTCTTTAGAACTTGTATTTAGTATCTTTATTGGCATCAGTTATGATTGACTTGTGCTTAATAACTTTGGTCAAGGATTTTTTCACAAGTCTTTTTTTTACCTTTTTTGTGGGTTTGTGGCAAGTACTGAGAAAATATTAATTTACAAGTAATGGTAATAGAAGTTTATAATCATCAAAAGCAAATTGTCATGTAGTTAAAAGTGTACTAAGTTAAATTTTGCCTTTTAGCATTTGCACAGAGTCTTAGTAGACTTCTTTTTCTGTAGATGTATTGTCCATATTCAAACTAATCTCTTTAAAAATTAAAACAAGATGGGACCTTTTCAACTTTCCCAGGCCAGTGGTATTATCATTGCATCACTTTTCCTAGATTTAGAATTGAAAAATAATGTTCGGTTATTCTTAAGGAATGATGTTCTTCTAAGGAATACCGTTCCTTAGACGTCACCTGGGTTATTTCACGTCTTTGGTTTTCCCCTCCGTCCTTGATGGTGACGGTAAACCAGCTAGCTTTCTCACTGTCCCCCACCTGCACCGTTCGCCTGAGGCGTCCCGCTCCTCAGCTCCGTCTGTGCCAAGCACTGTTGGCAGGCTCCTTTTCCTGAAATATTCCTTCAATAATTTCTGATTCTCATCTGCTATATTAATTGGGCTCTGTGGTCTAGTTCACTCTGGGTGTTAGCATTCTGACACTGTTGTCTCCAGCAGGGGGAGTTCATCTGAGAGCAGGTCACCACCAGACCATCTCCATTTGTTCAGTGTGTGAAAAACCCGTCAACTTAGAGCTGATGGTGTTTAGTTTGTCTTAAAAACTGTACTCAGACTTGCTGTTCCTGCCTTTTTCACCATTTGCTTAGAGCTTCTTTGAGTTTTTCCTCTCCATCTACCTGTGTTGTTCTGCTGACCCGTGTTACTCTTCTTACCCTCTCTGCCCCTAGCTCATTTACAGCTGGTTTGGGGAACATGAGACATGGATGTGGAAACGTAGTCTACGCTGTTAGATAAAAATACCAGAGAAGGGAGGAGTTACTGAGAAATTCAGCCTGGTTTTGAAGCAGGGTGAATATGTGAGCTGGCCTGCCAGGAGCAGGTCTGGTTTGCTTCTGTTGTCCAAGCATAATTGATAATAGCATCCCTTCTAGTCTCAGAAGTGTTCTGGTGTGGCCAGTATATGTGGTCATTGTAGTTTTAAGGACAGTGTGATACATTGCTTGTCTTTTGTCCAAACTAGATTTTTAAATGGATTTGCTACTCCTTTTAGCCACTGGACAGCAGTTTTTACTGGGTTCAACAGGATATTGGCTTCTTTTCTAATCACCCATTTTGTACTCATTTCCATTGAGCATCTCTGACTTTTTATAACCTCTTAGCTTGTGATATTCTCTCCATAGCCCTTTAAACAAAGAGAAGTCCTTTAAGTGGGAGTGATTCAGAAGAATGTTTCCATTATTTTTAACTCCCCAACTTTTAAGAATGTTAATAAATACAGTTATTCCAGTGGTAAAAAAAAACAACAACAACTTAAGTGCTTCTAGTTGAATTAGAAATTCCTAATTTTGTCTTGACATTTATTCAGATTTCTGTGATAAAAATTTGTCATAAAAAGCTATCCAAAAAGATAGCTTTTTGGATCTGATTATTCTCAGCTTTTTCTTTTTTTGCTGTATTCATGGTTGATATTTGCTGTATTCCTTCTTAGTCTTACCTTGAGGAGAGTTTTTAAAGGTATCACTGGAAACTGATCTCATAGCAGGAACCAGATAATCTTCATTTAATGAGAAGCTGCTTTATGTTTAGCTATTCCCTTAAGTCCACTACCAATACTTTAGCTGCAATATTGTGAAGTAGACTAGTTGTAAAGCTTTGCAAAGTATTGGAGTGCATAGTTATTGCAGAGTGGCTTTAAATTGAAGTATTCTTTACCTAGTTAAGATGCTTTTGTTTAGGTAGGAAGCAGGAGCTTGTTTAAACTTAGCTCATTTATGTAAGCAAGGTAAGACTTTTTTTTTTAATAAAGATGAGGTAGTAAATACATAGCAGCTGATACTGAAAAGCAGAACTTCATCTTGGCTCGTTGAATCTGAGTTTTGAGTGGTGTGGAAAAATTTTCCAGTTGTACCATATAAGTGGGCTGGTTATGCTTTTCAAGGAAACTTTACATAAATATATGTTAGAAGTTATGTTTTCCATATTATGATACTTGAACCCCCTTACATGTAAAGATGATACATGCTACGGATTTTTGTCTGAGCTCTTAAATTATACTTGTTTTCAATAAAGAATAGTCATATATTCTATGCTTTATTCCTGAGTCTTCAAGTTGGTCACTTCTAGTACTAGGTCTCCATTGTTTATTATAGATCATCATTTTCTGGATGGAAGTCTTCAGTGAAAGAATGGAATGGAAGTGTTCAGTTAAACATCAGTAATGAGGACTATTTCAGCTTCTTATTTTCAACACTTGCAGGTAACTGCGCTGATCCACCAAGTTAAGGAAAGGAAAAGAACCTAGTATGAAAATTTTCCTGAGATTTACTGTCTTACCTGTTTGGGTCTAAGTTTTGAACCTCACTGCATAGTTTAATAAGATGGTGAACAGAATATCCATTTTAAACATGTTTAAAATGTTTAGTGTGTTAGGAAAAACATCACATTTTAATTAGCCATATTTTGATTTCCATTGATGTCAGAGAAAAATTAGTAAAATGAGTCTTGGTGTGTTAGATTAGTATTATTACTGTTGTTTTAAATGATTATACTGTCTTCGGTAGTTTTGTTTTGTAATTGGATGATAAAGATGACAGTGTTTGAAATTTTCTGAAGACTTAAAATTAAGAGACTTACTGAAATATGTTAAGTCAGAATCCAAACATAGCTTGAAAAATTCTGATAAGGAGCTGAATGTAGCAAGATAAATATTATACAAAAGAAACAAGTAGACTTGTACATGTTTGTTTGATAGTTTTGGATGTATGCGTTTGAGATGGATGTGAGGGCTTTATGTTTTAATTAGTAGTACCTGTCAAAGGGTTTAGTGGTTTTAGGAAGCTCATTAGGAATCAATCACGAGTGTGATATGGCTTCCAAACTAGATGATGGCTCTTTAGGGCATGTTCGTGGAAGTACAGTGATCTGAAAACATCAAAGCAGGTAGCTAGGGTCAGACCACATTGTGCCGGTATTCTGATCATTCTAAGAGCTGTCTTTTAGGAGGGACTTGGGCAAGTTGTTTGTATAGGTCAGACTAGGTATAATAGAGGTGGTAAGAGAACCAGAAACCTTATTATATAGAATAGGTAGAAGGAGGTACACAGTAATTCTTGAAGAAATAGACGTAGGAGGGATGGAATAGTTTTAAAACATTTGAAAGGCTATTATGTAAGAATACAGAGTTTGGTATATGTATGAAGGAGCATATTGTTTTTCTTGTTCATTTGCTTTTTTAAACCTGACATTAATTAGAATGATTATGTCTTTCGCGTTTATTTAAGTATAAAGGTGGTAAAGCCCTCAGTTTAAGGGATATCATATTGTTTCTTGATGTATTACACATTTGATTCAGGTCACATCTTTGTGTACATAATTATATGAATTTTACTACATTGCTGGCGTTTCATTTTTTAAAATAATAAAGTACAGAAATTCAGAGAAAACAGCTTGTTAGCTTGAAGAATTTAACGTGGAGATACATGTCGTCTATTTTTTAAAAATTACTTAAGAATGTTACTTGCTTTGTGATTTATTTTAAACTCTATTTCTTTACTCTCAACTTAGGGTTTTCGAAGGAGGAGCTGACCTGGCTCCAGAGCCTCCGAGGAGTGCCCCATGTCGTCCAGACGCAGCTTTCGCCCGTGCTGCTCTACCTCACTGACCTGGACCAGTTCTCACACCACTGGGACGTGACAGAGGTGATGGCCCATGCGCACAGGCACGCGGGGTGGTTAGCGTTCAGTTCCTCGGCTGCCGGGAGCTACTGTGTGTCAGCCTTGCCTGGTGTAGGATGTTTCTAGAGGTTCTGAAAGTGCGTGTGACCCTTGGATAGGCGACGTGGATTCCTGAAAGAAGAGTGCTCATAAAAGTTATGCCACTAGACTAGAATAGATTAGCAGTTTGAATGATAGAGACACATTTATTTTCCTTTTGCTAGTACAGAGTAAAAGGATAAATGCATTTATAGAAAAGAGGAAAGGCTTCATGAAGAAGGAAGAATTTTATGTAGATATTGAAGGATGAATAAAAGTTAAGTAGGATTTTGTATCCTTGAAGGAGGGTTTTTCTAAACAGAAAAAATTATTTGGAAGATCCTTTGGTTTTAAAGAATAGGTATTCTGATCATTCTAAGAGCTGTCTTTTAGGAGGGACTTGGGCAAGTTGTTTGTATAGGTCAGACTAGGTATAATAGAGGTGGTAAGAGAACCAGAAACCTTATTATATAGAATAGGTAGAAGGAGGTACACAGTAATTCTTGAAGAAATAGACTTAGGAGGGATGGAATAGTTTTAAAACATTTGAAAGGCTATTATGTAAGAATACAGAGTTTGGTATATGTATGAAGGAGCATATTGTTTTTCTTGTTCATTTGCTTTTTTAAACCTGACATTAATTAGAATGATTATGTCTTTCGCGTTTATTTAAGTATAAAGGTGGTAAAGCCCTCAGTTTAAGGGATATCATATTGTTTCTTGATGTATTACACATTTGATTCAGGTCACATCTTTGTGTACATAATTATATGAATTTTACTACATTGCTGGCGTTTCATTTTTTAAAATAATAAAGTACAGAAATTCAGAGAAAACAGCTTGTTAGCTTGAAGAATTTAACGTGGAGATACATACATGTCGTCTATTTTTTAAAAATTACTTAAGAATGTTACTTGCTTTGTGATTTATTTTAAACTCTGTTTCTTTATTCTCAACTTAGGGTTTTCGAAGGAGGAGCTGACCTGGCTCCAGAGCCTCCGAGGAGTGCCCCATGTCGTCCAGACGCAGCTTTCGCCCGTGCTGCTCTACCTCACTGACCTGGACCAGTTCTCACACCACTGGGACGTGACAGAGGTGATGGCCCATGCGCACAGGCACGCGGGGTGGTTAGCGTTCAGTTCCTCGGCTGCCGGGAGCTACTGTGTGTCAGCCTTGCCTGGTGTAGGATGTTTCTAGAGGTTCTGAAAGTGCGTGTGACCCTTGGATAGGCGACGTGGATTCCTGAAAGAAGAGTGCTCATAAAAGTTATGCCACTAGACTAGAATAGATTAGCAGTTTGAATGATAGAGACACATTTATTTTCCTTTTGCTAGTACAGAGTAAAAGGATAAATGCATTTATAGAAAAGAGGAAAGGCTTCATGAAGAAGGAAGAATTTTATGTAGATATTGAAGGATGAATAAAAGTTAAGTAGGATTTTGTATCCTTGAAGGAGGGTTTTTCTAAACAGAAAAAATTATTTGGAAGATCCTTTGGTTTTAAAGAATCAGTATGTAGTTTATCAAAGTTACATTTTAAACCCCAAATTTCCCTTAAATTTTAAAGTTCAACTTAACAAATCTTTTTAGATAAATATAGTAAGTTTAGGGAATCATTTTAAAAGGAGACTTTAATTATATTTTATCCCTTTTACAAACATATTTAAAACTTTAAAAAACAGTTTAAATAACTTAATATATTCACTATTTGGTAAGTAGTTCAGTTTTCAGACAAACCTTCACAAATGTTATGGTAAATCTTAAAACATTTAATAAACTACAAGCATGGTACATCTTAATATCTTAAGTTTCAGTACTATTTATAGTGAAATTCAAATTAAAACTACAGGTCTAGGTTAGCTGTTAATTGTGTTTTAAGTTGAAATTATAGGGCTGATCTTTTACGCTAATAGTCAGAATTGTTTTATGTTACAAATATATAAATATGTAAAGCATCATAAATACTAGTACTAAGGATTTGAGTCTGTAAGATATTTATATATTAGTTAATTTCTTCTATTTATTTCTTCAGTTTCTTTCCTTGCATTGAAAGGTACTTGCCCAGTAGAATTGTAGTTGTGTCATTCCAAATAATGTTGGTTGGAACCTTTCTTGCAAATTGGGAGGTTGTGTTCTGTGCTAGATTTTTTTTTTTTTTAATGATTAAGGTTTTTGGTTAGGGCACTGACTATATATTCTTTCTTTGTAACTCGTAATTGCTAGGCCATAGCCTTTTCAAACAAAAAATAACCTTTGTCAGTGTTCTCAACAGGGTAGTCTCTAGAACCTAAATCTCTTTTATTGCTATACCAATTGATTTTATTCAGCTGATCTATAGACTACTTCTTTCATTCTTTTCCAGAATACTCTTTATGGTCTTCCTGTATCTTAGGTCTACACCTTTTATAGACATTTAACACATTTCTCTCATGGTTTTGTTTGACTGTGATCACAATACTTAGGTCATGCCAGGGACACTTTCTTCTCTTTAATTACCTAGTGCCTAACTATGTTCATATATCGGCTTTCAAAAAATAGTGAATTTTAAACAGTGAAAACGAAGGAGTTGGGTAACCAACCTGCATATTTAATATCTGGCATTTAATCTTAATCCATAGTACATGCAGAGAGTGAGGCCTTGCATACTGCTGGATTGGAAGGATTGGGTTTAGTGTTAGTAGTTGTTCTGTAAGCTTGTTTCTGATGTTTTTAAACTATATCATGTATGGATTGGGGAAAGCATGGTATGGGGATTGATCAGTGGGCCCCAGATTCCAGACATAGACTTGTTAAAGTGTCTAGTTTGATAACTTGGACAACTCCAATAATCTTTCTCTGACAATTTTAATTTTTCAGAATCACGTCATCTGTGTAAAGACACAGATGTCATGAAAATGTGATCGGTTATATTTGTGAGTGTACATTGGCAAGAACATGTATTAAACTTCAAGGATGCTGTCTTTGAAATGTTAAGACATAAATTAGGAAAAATCTGAAAGTTTCTTTGTTTTTGAAGTTAAATGATTCCAGTTTTATTTTGGATAAAATTTGCCTTTAAGTTGGCCTTTTCATATGAAATTATTTGAAATATATGTAGTTTTTGACAGCCTTAGTGTAAAAATTGATTTTTTATTATTATTATTATTTCATTTGAAAAAGTTACTAGTCAGTGGCGTGGGTTTGCTTAGTTTGTTCTATCTGCTTAGTCTGAAGTGGTTTTTTTTTAAATTGGACCTTTTTTTTTCTGAGTAGATTTTCTTCACAAAGTATAATTTATTTACTTACCTACTTAACACATTTAAGAATTTATTTATGTGCATACAGCAGCATGAGGTCTTCACCATGCACAGGCTTTCTCCAGTTGCAGCAAGTGGGGATTGCTCTCTGGGGCTGCCCTTCAGCTGTGGGCCGCGGGCCCCTCTCTGCGGCGGCTCCTCTGGTTGCAGAGCATGGGCTCGAGGGCTTCGCTCGTTCTGGCACACAGGCCTGGCTGCCCTGTGGAACCTCCCCAGACCAGGGATTGAACCTGTGTCCCCTACTGGGTGGCAGATTCTGAACCACTGGGCCACCAGGAAAGTCCCACAGGACAGTGTAGAAGAACAGAAGGATAACAGTAAAAGTGTCCGTCCAGGCCCTGTCTGCCAGCCACCCATGTCCCTTCCTTGGTTTCTAAATGTACTCTTTTGGATAACTTCTGTGTCTTCACAAATGATTATATCTATTCTTTTGGCTTCTCCTTTTATAGACATAACATACTCTGATTTGGACCTTGCAGTTTTCACTTAGTATCTTCATGATCATTTCTTCCAAACACTGAAGGAAGAATTGTATGATCTTGCCATTAATGATGGAAATAGTAGTTAAAAGGGAAAAGGAATCTTTGGACAGAGAGATCATTCCCGAATGGAAATGACTTTTCCAGAGCCAGTGCAAGGTTTTAAGGTTAATTTTAATTGTCATTTATAAAATTTTGAATGGTTTGAAAAGACTACTTTTTAACTAAATTCTGAAGAAAAATAATAAAACATTACTCTAGTTTAAGAAATAGAACATTTTTCTTTGTTTTTGAAACCTCTGATTTTATTAACAGTTTTATGTGTGTGACATTTCTGTATAAAATTAAGTAGAAAATACTTCAGTGTAGAAATTAAGTGTACAAAATCTTGTTAAAAATTTTTATATTTTTAAAAAACTCTTAATTTCCACACTGTAGCAAATTGCCGTGCCTGTTCTGGAATTGTGCACTGTGAAGTCAGGATTCTGATGTATGCAAATTCCAGTTAACACTAGTTGCAGAAGTGAAGACTGCCTGTATATATGTATGTTTGTGTGTCTCTGTTTGTATTTTTGTTTTGAAACAATCTCAGACTTAGAGAAAAATTACAATTGCAGTACAAAGAACTTCTCTTTTCTTAAAACTGTTTGACAAAATGCCCATAGTCGGTACTTCAGCATACAAGTAGACCGTGTTTTATTGTACCTGCAAATTCAGTTTTTAGAAACTGAAGCTCTGCGGCAGCCCTGCACTGAGGGTGTCCGTCATCTTTGCAGCAGCATTTGCACACTCTGGGTCTCTGTGTCAGTTTGGTGATTCTCGCAGTGTTTCACCCTTTTCATTGTTATTTCTTAGAGTGAGCTGTGATCGTGACCTTTGATAATACTGTTGTCATTGTTTCGGGGTTTGTAATTAAATGTAACCATGAACCGTGCCCACAGGAGATAGTGCAGTGATCTTAGTAAAATATGTGTGTTCTGACTGCCCCACCAGCCAGCCATTCCCTATCTCTCTCCTTCTCCTCGCCCACAGGAGATAGTGCAGTGATCTTAGTAAAATGTGTGTGTTCTGACTGCCCCACCAGCCAGCCATTCCCTATCTCTCTCCTTCTCCTCAGGTCTCCCTATTCCCTGAGACTCAGCAGTATTGAAATTAGGGCAGTTAATAACCCTGCAGTGTATGTGTGTTAGTTACTCAGTTGTAGCCAACTCTTTGTGACCCCTGGACTGTAGCTCGCCAGGCTCCTCTGTCCATGGAATTCTCCAGGTAAGAATACTGGAATGGGTTGCCATTTCTCTCTGGGGGATCCTCCTGACCCAGGGATCAAACCCCAGCCTACTGCATTGCAGGCAGATTCTTTACCGTCTGAGCCACCAGGTGTTCAAGTGAAAGGAAGAGTTGCGTATGTCTTACTTGAAACCAAGAGCTAGAAATGATTATGAGCTTAGTGAGGAAAGTGTGTTGAGAGCCAAGATAGGCTGACAGCTAGACCTCTGTGCTGGTTAGCCAAGTTGTGAGTACAAAAGAAAAGTTACTGAAAGTAAAAGTGCTGTTTTGTGAACACAGGAATAATAAGAAAGTGAAACAACCTTATTGATGACGTGGAAAAAGTTTGAATGATCTGGATAGAAGATCAAACCGCCACAACATTCCCTTAAGCCAAAGCCAAATCTCGAGCAAACCCGGATGATGATTTAGTCGTTAAGTCGCATCCAACTCTCTGCAACCCCATGGACTGTGGCCTGCCAGGCTCCTCTGTCTATGGGATTCTCCAGGCAGGAGTACTGGGAGTGGTTGGCATTTCCTTCTCCAGGGGATCTTCCTGAGCCAGGGGTCGAACCCCGGTGTCCCGCATTGCGGGCAGATTTACCGACTGAGCTACAAGGGAAGCCTTAACACTCTCGTAAGCCTCTTCAAGTCTCTGAAGGCTGAGAGAGGTGAGGAAGCGGCAGAAGAGGTTGAAGGCAGCAGAGACTGTTCCACGAGGCTCGAGGGGAGAAGCCGTCTCCGCGACACGCACCTGTGAGGTGAGATAGCTGATGGGGAAGTCTCAGCAAATTACCCCGAAGAGCCAGCTGAGACAACTGCTGAAATAGTGGCTACACTAAGTAACAGACTTTCAGTATAGACAAAACAGCTTTATACTGGAAGATAATGCCATCTAGGACTTGTCTTAGCTAGAGAGAAGTGAGTGCCTGGTTTCAAAGCTTCAGAGGACAGGTTGACTCTTGTTAGGGGCTGATGCAGTTGGTGATTTTAAGTTGAAGCCAGTGCTCATTTACCATTCTGAAAATTCTAGGACCCTTAAGAATCATGCTAAGTCTACTCTGCCTGTGCCCTATAAAGGAAAAAGCCTGGATGACAGTACACCATGGTTTACTGATTATTTTAAGCCCACTGTCGATGTCTTCTGCACAGAAGAAAAGCTTCCTTTCAAAGTATTACTATCATTGACAAAACACTGGTCATTCTGGAACCCTGATGGAGATACACAATGAGATTAATGTTTTTTTCATGCTTGCTAGCACAGCACCCATTCTGCAGTCCATGGATCAAGGACTCATTTAAATCAAGTTTTATTATTTAAGAAATACATTTTCTAAAGCTATAGCTGCCATAATTAGAGATTCTTAAGATGGATGTGAGCAAAGTAAATTGGAAACTTTCTGGAAAAGAGTTCACCTTGTAGATGCCATTAAGATCATTTGTGATTCATGGTGAGAGGTCAAAATATCGATATTAACATGAGTTTGGAAGAAGTTGATTACAGCCTTCATGAGGAGTTCAAGACTTCAGTGGAGGAAGTAACTGCAAATGTGGAAAAAGCAAGAGAACTAGAATTAGAAATGGAGCTTGAAGATGTGACTGAATTGCAGATAATCTCATGATAAAACTGAACGGATGAAGAGTTGCTTCTAATGAATGAGCAAATGAATCTACTCCTGTTAAAGATGTGAAGATTGTTGCAATGACAACAAAGGATTTAGAATAGTACATAAACTTTGCAAATAAAGCAGTGTCACTCACTGACCCTGACATTTTTGAAGAATTAGTTCAGTCCAGTTCAGTCACTCAGTTGTGTCCGACTCTTTGTGACCCCATGAATCACAGCACACCAGGCCTCCCTGTCCATCACCAACTCCTGGAGTTGACTCAAACTCATGTCCATTGATTCGGTGATGCCATCCAACCATCTCATCCTCTGCCGTTCCCTTCTCCTCCTGCCCTCAATCTT